ACACACAACCATTGAGCTTTTAGTATTAACACATTGAGTGTAATTTGGGTTATGGTGAGTGTATCTTTGAGAGTGAGCTTACATAGAGTTCTTATCCATTATAGAGAACAAACTTTGTTATTGAGCCTTAATTGTAAGATACACTTTGTAATACAATTTTACACCGAGAGGAGTGTGGTGAGAGACGAGGTCAATTCCAAGAGAAGTGACGTCGATAGTAAAGCCTAGGGAGATGTTGTAAATCCGAGCACTTGAGGAAGAGGACACGGGCTAGAGACCAACACTTAGAGGGTATAGAGTGTGATTGCAAGAGTGTGAGTTGTGAAAATTTTCGGTGAGTTAGAAAACCGAGATTGTGATGTGTAAACGTTTTTGGGTGAACATCGAAAACCCATTTGTAATAGTGGATTCTTCTCGGGAGTGGGGAGCGAAGACGTAGGTCGGAAGGACCGAACTCCGTGATCATTTCCTTTTGTTTGTGTTTGGCTTTGACGCATTTATTCTTATATATTTTCATATCGCCTATTGTCTCATGTTTATATCGCTCTTAGTTTAATTCCATATCCTAGCTCATATCTTGTTGTATTTCATACTTGCTAGGATAATTTGTTTATTAGTTTTAAATTGGCTTTAAATTATATTAGATTAGCATAAATCCTATTCACCTCCCTCTAGGGTACTTTCAAATGTAAGAAGTTTTGTGTAATGTACTTGTTTAGCTGGGGTATACCGTTTGTATTTCCTATAAAATGTCTTGGTGCTACAACTATTTTCAGCTGGATAACTTTTAGCTAAACATGTTTAACTTTTATTTGACTACGTTAACTTTGAGATGAACATGTTGGCTTTCAACTATACACGTTGAATTTTAAATTCTATAGAGTTTAATGTGAAGATGTTAACTTTCAGCTGAATATATTAAATTTAAGCTAAAAATGTTGCCTTTAACCTGAACATGTTAACTTTCACGTGAGCATGTTAACTCTCATTTGTATATGTTAACTTTCAGGTGTATATGTTAACGTTCAGGTTTATATGCTAACATTCACGTGAACATGTTAACTATCAGCTGTATATGTTAACTTTCATCTGCATATGTTAACTTTCTTACGAACATCTTATATTTCATCTCTGCATGTTAACTATTAGCTGAATATGTTAACTTTTAGCATAATATGTTAATTTTTACTGTTACATGTCATCTTCTTTATAACATGATAACATGCGACTGAATATGTTAACTTGTCAAATGTACATGTTAAGTATTAGCTTTTCCTGTTGACGTTTAAGTAAACATATAGCTTTTCATTTGAACCTGTTAAATGTATGTTGTATAACGTAAATATGTGGTGGCAAAATACCAAAAATACAATAAGAACAATAAATGTCAAGCTTGCTGTAATGTTTGTCATCCACATCAACTACTGTTTACACAACTAAATTAATATACTCAGGTCCAAAAGCCTTACCAAATGAGCAAAGATGCCTTGCCCATGAAACGAGATTCACACGCTCAAACTCCGAGGTAGGTGAAGCTGATCACACTTGGAGTGGGCGTCGCCCAAAGATGAGAACCAGAAGCAGAACACGAAAGGTATATATAAATATCGCATTTCTCAGATGAAGGGCCTCCGCCATCATATTCTGGTGCTACATAGCAAACAGTACCCCTCCTCATGCTCGGGGCACTGCTGATCGTGCCGCCACTCTCGGGGATTTCAGTGCCAGCATCCCAATCCTGGCTTCTCCTCCTCCCTGTCGCCACTGAGGCCATCCATCCACCACTCTTGACTGCATCTGCTCCAATTCTTCTTCCTCCTCCTCTTGATCTTTCTCTCTGATGGCAATCCACAATCCTCATCACCCTCCTGCCACCAACGAGGGTGCTCTCCTCCTTCAATATTGCTTTTGCATGCACTTAATCATCATCCTCTTCGATCCTCTGCTGTTAATTTCTTGGTGAGCTCTTCACAGTACTCCTCTCGCCACCACTCCTTCGCTGGCCTGCTCTTCTTCTCCTTCTTCATCCAATGAAGCCCACCACTCCAATCCCTGCTGATGTTTCCTACGCTCTGACTTCCCCCGAAGTCTTCGGAAAGCAGCCCTTGGATGAAACAGTCGAGGGTCCGGTGATCCAATCGCTCTTCGGTCGTTCTTAATTTCTTGATCTCCGATCGATCGGCGAGCCAGAGGAAAGCATCTTGCCGGCGATGGAGAGCTCGTTATGAAACTCCCTCTCGCCTTGAAGAGAGCCTGAATCCATTAGCTTGACGGCGATCTTCTGGCCACACGGAACACGGGCCCGAACCAACCCTGACCGAGTTTGAGAGGGGGGGAGAACGACGACGTGGCACGGCTGAGCTATGTGTAGGTGAACCGGCGAAGCGGGTTTGGATCCGAAACGGCGACGGCGGGTTTGAGATCGGACGCGAGGTCGGGCGTATTTGTTTGCAGCGGAAGCGACAGTAGAGGTATTAATGCGGGACGCAGGCGACGAAAATAGCATGGCTTGCAGCGGGTGGCAGCGTGGACGAGGATTCTTGGGTGGCAGATGATGGTTGACGCATTTTAGGGCATTTTGTAAACAAATTGCTGTGGAAAGAAATAGGCACTGAAAACTTAACTATTTATTTTGGGGCCTTCTGTTACATAAAAAATAATATGGGTCCGGTCACACCCTTTTTATTTTTTTTTTTTGGAACTTAACATTTTTTCCGTGTGTATATATATATATATATATTATATATATATATATTATTATATATTAGAGAATAATGGAGGTAGCTGGCAGCCACCTACCCCCGTGTGGTAAGCTGCAAGTGTATGACATGTGAGCCCCCTACTAGTCACATCGGGTGGGGCTCACATGTCATACTTGCCAGCTCACGGGGTAGTGAGCTGCCAGCCTCACCTTCATTATTTCTCTATATTATATATTATTATATATGAGATAATGGAGGCTGAGCTGGCCCAGCCTCACTACCCCGTAGCTGCAAGTGTATGACATGTGAGCCCCCTATAGTCACATCGGGTGGGCTCACATGTATACACTTGCAGTCACGGAGTAGGTGAGCTGCCAGCTCACCTCCATTATTCTCATATATATATATATATATAATATATAATATATATATTATATATATATATTATATATATATATATATATATATAAAGTAAGTTATAGTAAAATACAAAGAACTTACACTTCATGCCAAGCAAGCGAAATATAAAGTGAGTGTTTAAAATTCATTCAGTGGAGTTTTTGGGTCTAAGAGTCATTATAGATCATGATGCTTTTACGAATAAATAATGGTATGAGCTCTGCGTTTATTAATTCAAGAAAAGAAATCCAGGCTTATAGCCAAAAATTCGTTTTGAAAGTTGGTGGATAAAAATAAATAGATGCGAAAAAAAAGCCATCTATAGTTCACCATGCTGCATCATTAGTGCAACACTCGAACCCAAAAAAAAAAAAAAGCTTAAAACATTGACTAAATTTAAAAATATACCATATACCTAACTACTTAGAGAACAAAAATATAGCAAGTTACAACAGAATGTAGCAACTCATATCGTAAAAACAAACTACTTAAATACAAATTGAATTTAAAAATAATTCATCGGAGTATTTTAGTTTTAGGAGTGATTTTAGAAGTTGGTGGGCTTAAAAATAAGTGGAGATAAAGCATTGGATTTAAAAATAAGTGAAGGTATCTATTTAAATAAATAAACAAAACACTATTAACATATTAATTTTATTTTTCTAGTTTCAATAATATTTTTCTAACAAAATATTATATTTTACTTAAATGCTGACATGGATGCACTTCCATAGTGTTGGTCCACCTCATGTGTTCACGTGGGCCAGCAAGAAGAAAAAAAAGGTAGAGATCACATGAGACAGCAATCAAAGAACGAAAGATTGGGTGGACATTTTTGCTTTGTCAAAAGTTACGGCTCGTCTCGTTTCTTTCTCTTTGTCAAACACGTGGGTCGGCAAGTAAGTAGAAGGACGGTAGGAAAACAAAGAAGGTCAGCAAAGGGACCCATATACTTTTGACAAATTGGAAGATGTTGAACGAAATTCACGGCAAATTTCGAGGAGAGAGGAGGCCGGTTTCTTCTATAAATAGAAGACGCTTCGTTCATTTTTCAATCATCCGAAAAACAAGAAACAACAAAGTGAGAGCCTCAGAAACAGAGAGTTTATCTGAGAGAGAAAAATAGAGAGCTAATTTGTGAAGTTCTATCCACAAATTGAAGTTGTGTTATTAGTCAAATTTGTGAGAGATCCACCTAAGAGTGAAGTGTGTAACCATTATTATTATAGTGAAAGTTTTTAAATGGCCTACGGGTCCCGTGGTTTTTCCTTCTTTTCGAAGGGTTTTCCACGCAAAAAATCTTTGATGTTATTTTTGTCTCATTTAGTTGGGAAAATTATCCTGGGATTTGTCAATCTTTCCCAACACATAACCGTAAAGCAAACTGATTCTCACAGTTACAAATTGACTTTCAGTTGGTCTAACAAAACATTATATTTGAGTAGCCTGGAAATTTTAATGTTTTCTTGTATGAAGACTTCACTTGCATATAGGATTTGTTGCCATTTAATAGACTATTATTTTACACCAATCGCAAGATGGACAATACCCAACCATCAGTTTTTTCGATGGACTTACTCACGACTATATATATCTTGCGAATTAGTTAGTACACAATCAACCAAGAAAGTACGAATTCACACAAAAGAAAATGAGTACAGTTCGCAAGGTTTAACGTAATTTACAAATAATAGAATTCACGTCATACCAAAGGATAAATAGTCAAAAATCAGAAAGTCATAAGGTTAGATTCAGATGATCTAAACTCTTCATTTTAATGGCATTTTTAATTCAATTCTTGTGCTCTTCAATCAACCACTAACAAGAAACTGAGATGGATACAAATGAGGTTGTATCTATTTAATTTCACATATGACAGACAAAGTTATGCAACATGAATCAGGCTCCAATTTCCGCACCTCCTTTATATGAAATTAAGCCACAAAGATTAAATTCTTTTGATACATTAAATTTCTGTACAGTTTTCCATCAAAGTGGCAAATCAAGAGGGGGAGTAAAAAAAAATGACTATCACATTTTGTACAATATTTGGTTAGAGAACAATGTGGGGCCATACATTATCCACATTAGCATGTCATGGCTACAATGCTACTGTATAAGCCCATAACTAGATAAAAGGTCTTCTCGCTGCACAAAAATTTACAAATGCCATTGATCGAACAATTGACTCGGACCGCGCAATCGCAATGTATTGAGACCAGCACCGGGTACAAGAAGAGGAAACATGCAATAAATGGTCCCAAAACTGAGCAAATAAGATTAACCCCATCTTTCTGACAAGGGAAAGACAGTAACTCTGAGCTTTCATCATCTGAAAAGTATTGAATTTGAGCACATAAGCATATGTAAAATTCAAAAAGTATGTTCCCTTATCAGGATTTGTCGTCTTCAGTGAAGACCAAATCAAATAGACAAACATAACATAAACTTATCAGTCCACTTTTTTCTAAGCCGTTGCTCTAAAAGTATGTCTTCAATTCCTAAGCCAAACACAAATCTTCACACTTCAGACTGCTCTTTTCTCCTGTACCATGTGTAATAACGTTGGTGTTTATTATGGATGTTCTTTTATGCAAGAAGAGGAAGGAGGTTTGTAATGATAGAGAGATGGCATTACAGTGACTTCACATCAGCAGGGCGCAGCAGAAAAGGTGAACATTTGTTATTTTTCTGATAGTTTCTTCTATAGTTTTGATAGATAGATATCAATTTGGTGGTAGTAGCAGCTAACACATTGTCGGTGCAGTTTGTTTTAGTTGGTTAGAAACATTTTGGTTTTGCTTATATTGGCTTTTGACATTTTAAACCAACAGCGTGGTATATGATGTGTCTAGGCTTTCGACTGGTGGAATTTACATGGTGTAAGATATTTGGATATGGATGCACTATTCTTTAGGATGAAAATATACATTTTATTTGACAAGATAAACCTTGTACGTATCATCTGTTAGATCTTGAAGCTAGGATTTAACCGAAAAGAAGAAAAAGTAGAGGGAAATATAACAGAGAGAAAGCAGTGGGGATGTTGGATTAGACCACAAGCATAGGAGTTGGTTGAGAAAAAAGACGAAGAACCACACTCACCACACTCACGCATCCTCTTCCAATCCCAAACAAAAAGAAAGAAACAAAAGCAGAACAGAACTCCCATATAAGAAAGAAACATTGAGAGAAAAGAAAAAACTCATCCTTTGATAATGGTAATGCAACTGAAAATAAACAACAGTTTTCTAATTCTAAGTATAGATTGTGCTGAGACCGTAAAAAATTGAATGCTGTCCAACAAGTAAATCTAGCAAGATTATTAAGTATAATTAAGTGTAATATGGCATGAGTTTTAGGCTTACCTGTACGTCAATTTTACAAGAGGAACATGGCCACTTTCAAAAATAACAGACCAGTCCGTTGATAACTACTATCAGCCTGATCCCAACTTTGAAGGTCGTGCATATTTATTACCCTGCATCCCTTGTCCGTGCGGATGCTGGGATTTCTGTTGCTGCTGCAACTGCAACTGTGATTGAGATTGTTGTTGCAGTTGCCAATGATCCCGAGTTTGAAGGTCAGTTCCTCCTGAGGGTGAACTAGTCAAGTGAGTGGTTGGAGTGGGTGAATTCACATCATGCGATGGCTCTGTTTTCCTCTGAGTTGAAGAGGACATCAAAGGAGCAGAACTTGTAGAAATAGGAAGTGATGTAGTTGGAATCATCTGATGGACTTGCACTTGATCGCCTGAGGATTTTACTCTACCATCAGAACTCAAATGTCCACTCTGCTGCATCATCCTTTGTGTATTTTGATTTATCTGATGCTGTAGTTGTGGTGGTGTCGGAGCAGACAAAGGATTTAAAGGATGTGGAGATATCTGGTTTGATGATTGAGAAGGCAGCCCATAATTTGATTTGTGCTGGTTTGAGGATTGCGGAATAGCTGAATTCAAACCTGAGCTACCAGGAAAGAAACCCCGTTCCATCTGAATCAAAGGTTTATCAGAAACTTGTGAGGGATCAAAAGTTAGGTTTTCATGTATCAGCATTGAGCCCCCACCTACACCCTTCACAAGCTCAGCTTGCTGCTGCAACTGTTGCTTATGTTGCTGTCGGAGTCTTAACTGCTGCTGCTGCTGCTGCTGCTGCTGTCTCTGCTTCATGACCTGATTTGATAACCCAGGACTTCCTTGTGACTTACTTTGCATCTGCTGCTTGTTATGTTGGGCTTTTGCAGGAAATGGAAGTGAAGAGGAAGATGGCTGGGGTTGCTGTTGCAGCTGAGAACTACTCTGAACTGCTGAATACGGTTGCTGAACTTGAGGCATCAACCGCTGCTGGAGTTGCCTCTCTTTAGCCAGGCGGATGGCATAAGAATGCAGCTGTGGGCTTGAACGGTTCATGCCTTGAATGTGAGTGTGGTTTGGGTTTCCAAGAATGTAAGATTGCTGATGCTTTTGCGCTTGATAAGAAGAGAGTGATGAAGGCCTTGTTATAGTAGAAAATTGGGTGCTCATGGCACTGAAAGGAGGCATAAGTTGACCGTTCCCTTGCGAGATATGCAGAGGGATTTCTTGCATCGTCATCTGCCTATGGTCCTCTGTGTTCTGACCAGGCTACATTACCAGTAATTTCACATACAAAATTTTGATCAACAATCACGTGATCAGTACACAAGTTTCTTAAGGTACAAAAGCATAATGTTTAAATGACAAAAGATTTAGGATGTAACCCAGTAAAATATCAACAGATATCCATTTGAGCAATGTCATTAGCTCACACCTAATATTAGTGTATTAAAAGGAGCTTGATGGCCAGAAGAAAAGGGTCAATGTAGATGTCTAAAAATAGCGGCAAAACTCACCTTATTCATCCTAGTATTACCATCAAAATGGGACTTGTCTACAGAAAGTAAACTCCACAAAAAAATTGACAAGATTTTTATAACTATATTGACCAAGAGAGTGACGGGAAAAAGAAAGCCTAGCTACAAACTTTAACAGCCGGTAACAAGCAAATTTTTCAAAAAGTTTACGATCATGCAACATGGAAGAAAACAGAAAATTTGCCGATATACAAAAATTAGACAAAAAAGGAGAAGCATAAAAGAAATGATGAAGGGAATTTCATTCATCCAGATGATCAAGGTATAGTCCAAAAGCCACATATCCATTAAACAAGGCCGATACTACACATCAAATGAGAGAAGGTTTTACTGAGAAAGAAAATAAATTGGTTTAAATAACAAATGAATGCAGTGATCTTAAACATGAAGTATTAAAATGAAGTGATAAACTTTATGAAAAATTATACTAAGAACAAAAGTTTACCTGTGGCCTTAACATTGAGTTCTCTGGGCCTGAAAGAGTACTAGGATGGGTGTTAACAGGATTGGGCACTCCTCCACAGCTTGCAAGCATGCCACCAGAAGAAACCATGGGCATGCTTTGAGAGAGTATTGGCTGAAAGCCTGGTCTAGACATAGGCATGGTTCTACCACCCATCATACCCATACCATTGCCAGTGGATAACATGTGAATACCTTGATCAACTCCTACAGGTAAAGAGCCAGGAACAGCCATGCTAGCTTGCTGATTATTTCTTCCGGAAAGAACTGGAGCATAATGCATTTTTTGTTGGTCATCAACAGGTAAAGAAGCTGCTCTATGCATGAAATACCTCTGTGTATCCCTATGAGGATACAACCACGAAACATAAAAATCAAACTCTTAATACAATCAACAGTTAGAAGATAGGTCAACTGGTTGTATATTACCTAGCAGGGGGATTTAGTGGTGTAGAAGGTGACGGTAAATTACTTCCTGGGACAATTCCAGAAGATCCCAGGGACATAGTGCTAGCATTTGATGTAGGAAGAGAAGGTGAAGGAGAAACTTGATGAGTTGGAATTGCTGCACCACTTGTATTAGACCCCTGACATCCAAGCGCAACATCTGGACTTGATGTAATAGCATCACAAAGATCAAGTGGCCTGCATCGCATATAAAAACCAAGGTTTTAAATGTCGGATATCGGATTCATGTCAGACAGCCAAAATTCATGTCGGATAGCAGAAATCGGGGATATGTCAGGGGCCATATACTAAATATCGGATTGCCATATCCGATGGATTTCTACTCAATTTTGGTCACCAAGATGGAATGCACTTGTCTTGTTATAACTTATCCTACTTGAGTTGAGTATTCATCATCAAGATACGAGTCGTTTTCCATTTCTTGAAGGGAAACATTAGAATATTATGCCAACAAATAAATAAAATACACATTGTCAAACTAGAACTTTCGAAGTGCCTTGCATAAAATTAACATAAAGTGAAGTGCCTTGCATAAAATTGACATAAAGTGTTGGACTTTGAATTGATTTCAAGCTACGGTCCAAACTTATTGTTTACATCACGCTTTTATGTATTCACAATTTCAATTTGTAGAGACGAAGACGAACGAGAGGAGATCGCAACGGAAAAGAGAGCAATATTTTTCTCTTTGCCCTAATCTATATTATATGCTATCGGGTTACTGTGGGAATAAAAGGCTAAAAAAAGAATTAATCGGGTTACTTTTGAGTACTAAACCCAAACCCCAATACTTATCAACTCAAAAAAAAGGCTGATTTTGATTTTTCAAGGCTGAAAATCAGCCGATATATTCGCAATATCCCCCAACATGTCCGACATGGACCTCAAAAATGATATCCGACTTGAAATGGCCATATTTGTGTGGCTCTAGCCTCTGATCCGACATGTCAGCCGACATGTCCGACATGTCGG